CAGATAGATAGAAGACAAAGAGAGAGCACGTCCACTTACATGGCAGGCATTACACCATCAAACACATAAATGAAAATTTCAATATGCAGCAGAAATATGTGAAAGTCAAAATTTGATTGAGAAGAGAACACAGAACGAAATGAATTGATCATTGATCGCTTTTTTTTTTTTTGGTTTTTTGATGGGGGCGTTTTAAAACGCACAACCACACAACATACACAAGTGCATACAGACATACACACACGCACACACGTACACTACGTACCCTCTTTGTTCCGTGAATGGGTTTTCTTATCGCTGTTGGCCGTCTCCTTGAGCGATTTGATGGAGCCCGTTGGACTCTTTGTATATTGCAGCTTCTCCGGCGAACTTATCGATACATCCGCATTGCCCACAATCTGGCAAATGTCCGGTGAGTTGGGCGTCAACGAGGTGCCAATGCCCTGCCGTATGGTGGCCGATGAATAGGTTTGCGGCTTGGGATTGCTGTTGTTGTTGTCGCTGATGATTGCGCTGCCGCCGTTGTTATTGACCAGTCCGTTGGCATTGCTGTCGGCGGCACCCACAAGTGCCGTTGTCTACAAATTATGAAATAAAATTGGCCAATCAATTTTGCTGAGAATCTTTATAAATCAGCTTGCGCATACTTGTTCGGCAAAGAAATCCTGCTGTCCAAGCAGTCGATCCGTCTCCAGATCCGTGTCGGCTTCCTCCTCATCGTGCCGAGTGGCAGCCGTTGCCGTCGTTGTTGCACTTTTGCGCGGCACCCAAACCGGCGAATCTGGATCCACGGGCAGCACTTCGTCGCAAAACTTCAGCTTGTCCGGCTGTGTTTTGGCGCGCTGCAGTGCTGAGCGTATCTCTTTCATTGCCTCTTGTATCTCGACTGGGGCTGCAGCTGCTGCAGCTGGCTTGCTGCTGGCTGTCACTGCCATGGCAGCCGCATATACTGGGCTGTAGTGTGTTTCTGCGGGACTGTCGCTATCAGCATTATTGCCAGCGCTCAGCTCAAGCTCTGCCGTTGGCTCCGGCTCCGGTTCCGGCTCTTCGCACGGCACTGGCGAGGGCGTGACCGTTGGCGTTGCCGGCAGAGGCGAGGGCGTGCTCACAATGTCACTCGGCTGCGCGGCATCTATAGCTGTTACTGTAGCTATGACTGTGGTGCCGTTGTATTCGATTTGCAGCCGCTCGTTGTCGCTGTTGCCATTGTGCTCGTGCTCATGATTAATTTGCGGAGGCTGCTGCTGCGACTGAAGCTGCGTTTGAGGTTGCTGTGGCTGTGCCTGTGACTGTGACTGTTGCTTGTCGCAGACGACGGATACATTGTTTTCTGTATCGGAGGCATGGCCACTGCTGAGTCCATCCTCCAGCACCGGCATACTTGTATAGAGCTTACCATAGTCGGTTGTGGTGCAGTTTATATCATTCGATAGGCTGTCCAAATCGCCACAGTTCGAGTCGTAATCTGTTGTCTCCGGCGATAGCGTAAAGTTACGCGAGTGCCGACGCAGATTCGCCTCCAATTCAGTGTCGGCCAGGTCGCCGCTGCTGCGGCTGTTGGAATCGATATACAGCTCGATATCGTTGTGCTCCTGGTAGGCATTGTGCTCGTTAGACTGTGAACGAGTATTCATTAGCAAAGGCAAGAAAATCCATAACAATATTGTCAAGCATGCCCGACTGGAATATACCCTACGTCCCTTGAGGCCAAGTACCCTAACAGACACTCGTATTTACCTATCGAATGCGCTCTCATAATGGAAAGGCGATATTTGAATTACTTAAACGAAACATCTAAAATAACCATTTATATAAATAGCGTGAGATTATGAAAATGGCACAGACCCCATTTCGGAAGGAGTGAGTCACATTAAGAGTGAGAGTTTTGAAGAATTCTATCTGTGAACAGAACGTCAGGCAAACCGCGAATTGATGGAATATCGCAAAAGACTGTCATCGCCATTTTTACTCAGATTATAATTTAAAGATATAACGTTTCAATAAGCGCAATAGCATACTGTCTATATATATATATATATATATATATATAGTCGGACACTGACTGGTATTTCGAAATATATGGACGGCCGACTCACCTGTATCCTGGGCGAGCGATGTACCATGTAGAGCTCGTCTTTGGGTATTCTAGCTAGACGCTGACCAATGTAAGCTTGCTCGATATGTTTATCCACATCGCACACGCGCGGCTGTATGTCCTGCGGGCAGAAAAAAAAAAAACATTTTAATTTCGAGCTGAGTTATAATAAATTTTAAAAAACTCACCGAACTGGCCACATCGTCGCCACTTTCCGTTGCATAGTCTGTAAACCGCTTCTCGTCGTCCTCGGGATTCCCTTTGAAAAACTCCTCGAGCACTTTGCGAGTCTCAGAGAACTCGTACAGATAGTCAAAAGTGGGCGTCTTAGAGTTTGCCGTTGTTGTTGGCGTACACTCATGATCGAGCAAATCAATCAGATTGCCAACGGATGCCTTTACATTATTATCCATGCGCTGCTTGACAGGTGAGACACGCTGCGGAAAACCGGGCGGTCGTTTCGGAATGCCAGCGCCCTTGGCGGACGCTTGCTGATTGCCAAAACGACGCGGTGAGCCCTCATATTCGGCTATGGGCAGTTGGCCAATCATTTTGGTAACCTTCAGCACATCCTCGTTGCTGCCTCTTTCTGGGGCCAGTGGCGCTGATTTGTTTATCCAGTTGGTGTCGATGTCATCAAACACAACAATCTCGCCGTCCCGCAAACACTGGCCATCGGCTTTGCCCACATCCGTTGGCGAGCCGGGACTTGCTATGCCCTATGGATGTAAGCATAAATGGATACAGTTCAAAGCTATGCAGAATGCTGTCATGAGTTACCTCCGGTTCAAATTGGCTGCTGCCCGGACTGCGGCCCACGCGTATCTGATGTGGATGAGGCCGCTGGTAATAGTATGCCGACTGCTGCTGCTGTTGCTGCTGTGTCCCCAGGTATCCTCCAGGCATCTGATTAGACGGGGACACCTGCTCAAATGCCTGATGATGATGCATGGGCGCATACTGAAGCTCAGCATTCAGATCCGGTGAGTTCAGCACGGTGCTGGCTGGCGTCACGTTCGGGCTACGTGTACGCATCTCCCAAACGTAGCGCTCCTGTGAAGCTGGCTTGCAAGCGGCGCTAAAGTTCATGTGCAGCTCCGTATGAGCGCCAGCCACATGATTCACATTTGGCTCCACGGAGTCGTTGCTGCTGTCGCTGCACGAGTTCATCGCGAACGCTGCTAGTTAACTAAAGTTGACACAGCGCTTTGTGGCGCTTGAGTAAAGGCTACCTTTCAGCAGCCGGTGGTAATCTCAACTGCTGCTGGCATGCTACGCTTGGAGTCTGTTGCCTGCAAAATATAAAACAGCTCGGAGATTAGCATATCAAATTATATGTGCACACCTCTCTTTGTGTGTTTGATGATCTAATACTATAAACTGTCTGAATCACTGTAAATGCAGCGGCCCAGCTGATGCAATTGTTGTTGTTGTTGTTGTTGTTGTTATTGTTGCTTTTGTTAAGCGCTTGGAGTTGTGCACAAAAATCAATGCACAAATTGGCTGCACTTTGATGTTTGTCAGAAGTGTTGCCTATTCAGCTATTTTTTGGCTAAATGTGGCTATTTTCAGAGGTCATTAGACAGAAAAATGATGACATTTTACTGATTTAGCTGTTTTTGGCTATGTCAATGACAAGTAGTTGCGGCCAATTTGTACTCAGAAAGCTTATTCAGCTATTTTTAGCTATTTTGAGCAACGGATACAGCTACTTTTTTAAGGCGGCAGTTGACAGCACTGTTTGTGCGCATCAAATTACACACGTATGAGCAAACTTATGCCGCTCAGTGTGTGTGTGTGTAATGTTTTGTGGATTTGCGCACGTAAACTTGGCCTCCAAAAATTGTTCGTGCAGCCGACAGGATGCTGCAGCAGAAACAAAGGCGTTACAGTCTGCGTATGTATGAGCCAATTTAACTACAGTGTGCGCTCGCTATGAATAACACATTATCACAGAACGGCGGCACATTCGTTGCTTTTTAACTGAGCCAGCACTTAGCTTGTTTTTCTTGCACTTTGTTGTATAGTAGTACATGCAACGCAAATGTCAGTTAGAACAGCAAATATATTATAGAGAATACGTTTTGGGGTCATGGCGAATGACTGTTGTCTATAGCAAATGTTTACTGTACAGCAGTCCTCAAATTGTCAAAGGACGCAGCAGGCCGCCGGGTGTTTTGTGTTTGGGTAACACTGCCGTCCCCCGCGATTGCAATGCGAGCATCTGTCACCGTCTTCTACTTATCTTTTGGGGCCCAGAAATGGCGAATTAGATGACACCAAAAAAGCGCTATGTACATGCAAATGTGTGAGTGCGTGCGTGCGCGTGTGTTGCTCCACCAAAGTGTGTGTTTATGTGTGTGTGTGTGTGCGTCGTATTGGCATAGAGTATTGTTAAAAATCAATATATTTGGCAAGGTTTTGCGTGGACGACGTTATCCGCACTGCTCGCAACAACAACACTTAACCTGCCCGCCAGCAAAAGAAGCAGCAGCAACAACAACAACAACAACGGGCAGCATAACAATGCGTATTTTCTATATTTTTGGGTGGCAGTTCGCCCGTCGACACGCAATAAATGTGTTTCATTACGATTTGTGCACAAAACAATTATCTCCGCTATAGGCACACATGGCTTCTGCAAACAGTCATGTATTTTGCATGTTTCACACGGCAAATTACCATTTAATACATTTTATTCACTTTCTTCGTGCTAGTAAATGCATTTACAACTCGATAAAAAAAAACCAAGAAGCCGTTAGTGGTGGACAGCCCCTCCGATTAATTTGTATTGAGTCGATGTCTACGAACAGACTTATCGATGTTGTGAACCGATGTATCGGTATTTAATGTGATTGGGCATGCGATGTTCGATAACGAACGCCGTCAGTTACAGAAGAAAACACACTACCAAACGAATCGGACGTACCGCGGATCGTGACCCGTTGCGCGCGTTTTAAGTGTGTGTGGTTATTTTTTTGTTGTTGTTTTACGTGCAATTTGACGCGCGCGCATATTTGTAAAATTGTTTGTTGTTGAACAAATATGCAATAAACAAAAGTGAGTTAAACTGAGACGCTTGTGCCAATATGTCCCAACTAAATTTATATGCTCATTAACTTACGCCCAAAATTCCATAATATACACTTGTGTAGATGTAAGCCGCCTTTTGAATTGAGCCAGTGTCTAAGTTAATTAGCGTGCGCTGTTGCCACTCAGATACTGTATACCAGGATACAGATACACATGCCAATGCTGCTGCAGCAGCAGGGTGTGTTCCTGCCAGTGCCTGTTTGCCTGAGTGTGTGTGTGTGTGTATGTGCGACTGTGTGCCTGTGTGGGTTGTGAACCTGTGCTAAAAATCAATAAAGCACGCTCGTGCAAAAGTCAAACAACAAAGAAACGGTGCCTGTTCTGCTCCTGTTTCCCTTCCACATGCACAAGTACACATAGGCACATGTGCGTGTGAACTTTCTGGTTCAGTTATTTATTTTTTGTTTTGTTTTGTTTTGTTGTTTTTTTTTTTCCTGCTTGCTTGTGCCTGTGTTGCCAAGAAGGACGCCAGCTGAGAGGAAAAAAAGAAAAGAGGAGCAGCTAGAAAACTTGCCAATTATGCGCGTCGCTTTGTGCAATTGAAATTGCAGGTAATTTCACACATGCTCGTAATTGTTATAATAAAATTATTGCGCTCAGTGCAACGGCAGCAGCAACAAAAACAATAAGCGTTAAAATAATAAAACACCGTTAAATGCGCGCGCCTACTTAGTCGAGCGTGACCAAAGCACTAAAAACCCGTTGTTGTTGTTGTTGTTGTTGTTCTGGCTGTTGTTGTTGTTGTTGTAAGTAGTTCTTGTTGTTGTAGCAGCTGGCAATTGCAAACAACGCAATTGAAAACGCACTTGGCAACGCCAATGAACAACAACAAACGTTGTTGCCAGGGCAGCTGCTGCATTATCCTTTTTAAAGTTGGCAACTCTGTGTTGAAAATTATTCCATATAACTAGGCAAGTGGAAATGAATGCATCTCCCGATCCCATAAACCTCATCTCAATTAGACGGTGAATTTACCAGGCCTTACCAGAATGAATGCAAATCCAGAGCTTCCTTTGGAGATGTATTAAAGCATTTTTGAGAGATTTTTATATTTGTAAATTTCTCTGTAATACATTAGATAAGTGAAAGATAAGCTTGAAGCTGAAATATAACTGTGTTTTTGCTCATTTTCTGATCTTGGCTATATATATTTTCCATCAACATTAATTTTTCTTCTCTTCGTAGCATATATACCATTAAAGTAGGGTATATTTTCTTTTACGGCTATTTTAACATTGCTACGTTAACATTAATTTATTAACATTCCGATTAGAATATGCCCTGTTCACAGTGAAATAGCATCTGATAACAGCTTATACGAAATTCAATTCTGCTAATCAATAAATTGTTTGATCTGTAAAGGATATCACCAAAAAAACTGTTACCTATTAAGAAACCAATCAAATACAATATAGTTATTTTTGATAAATAATGTATAAAAGTACTTAAACAATAGTTGTTATTGAACTTTAGCATGCCAATCGATCGTATTAAATATTAACAATTTAATTATGTAAGGGCATTTGAAGTGCGTTCAACTGCTCAATTTCATTGTTAGCCACTTTTTGTCGTTCTTGTTAATTGCTTTTTGCAGTTCTCTCGTTGTCTTGGCCCAAAACATTCGCTGATGTTCGCCGCCGTTTGACAACGACAATTGAAAAAGTTATTAAATTTTAGCACTTTTATCTGCTGTTCCTTATGGCTGAATTTTTACAGTTCTCCTTCATGTTCTTGCCAGCAATTAAAAATGCAGTAAAGCGGGCCTTACAGTTAGACGTAGCAGATCTTAACTGCACTCTGGTAATTTACTAATACATTGTATTAAATAATTAACGCTTGGCTGGCATGCTCTGATTGGGATTCAGATTAAGATTCAGAATCAGATTCCGAACAAAAGACGCACTCAACAATATTTAACATTAGATATCAGCCAACAGCTATCAACTATCAGCTAACAGAGCTATCAGGGGCTATCAGCCATCTATCAGCTGACATATGCCAATGGCTTTTATCTAATCGGAGTAGTGGGACTCTTGGGCTCTGAGTCACCGCTGTTGCAAAAATCGTAGCCAAGTGCAAAAGTGAAAAAAAAGTGGTCGCTCGCTAAGTGGAATACGCCTGTTCCAATTGCAATTCTAATTGGCGGCTTATTATATTAATATCGGAAAGGCCAATTTGTATGTGCTGCCTGTGTTAGGCACAGAAACAGTCAACTGTAGCCTGATCAGAAAATATAGATATACATTTCTGATTAGCATCAATTTGCGACTCGCGGTACGTGTGTCTGATCATCTGTTACTTCCCATAATAATTATAGTATATTAGTTAAAAAACTATTTTAATAAGACTAGGTACAAATTTATATTAATTAAAAATTCAGGCTTTTATTTGAACCTTAAAACTTTAAAAACGGGTCTTAAAATATTAAAAAATTATTAGTTCTAAACTTACAAGTTCTAGTTCTAGTTCAAAAATAAATACAATTCGTCTTGATCTTAACTTGACTCGACTCTAGTTGGCGATCGTCAAGCATTTGGCCGGACATGGCCAAGTCGGTTTCCCATGTCGTAGTCCAGTACCTGTGTAGTTGTTGCCTCTCTTTATTATTGTGTGTGTGTGTGTAGAACAAACGAAAAGTCGATAAACCAGTTTGTGACTTGGCTCTGTTAAGTGGAATCAAAACAGTTTAGGCACTATACTGCGCAGGGAGAGAGAAAGAGAGCGATAAAGATTCTGTTGGGATTGGGATTTGGGAAGCGTAACAGCAGCAACTTCCTCATCGCGTTTTCATTCAATGTTTTTCACGCTGCGCAATTTCAAAAGTCAAACGCGTAGATAAATGTTATGAAACAAAATGTTGATTGACATTTTAATGAAAACGCATTTAATTGGAAAGCCTGTTATGAGCAATGCTACCGAACTGACCTTTTATATGATCCACTGCTTCTTGGCCAAGTTGCACTTAGTCAGGGCTTAACGTTCCTTTGTGCCCTCTACATCAAATTTGGGCCAATGTCGCTGACAGGCAAAGACCCCGCGTTCAACGAACACTTAATAAATGATTTATCTATGAGCGGCAGTTAAAGTTAACGTTGTGCGAAGTCGTAATACATTATATGATTCAATAAGTGGATATAAGTATAATGCTGAACATGTATTTTAATATTTGTTTCAAATATTTCAACTCATTTTTGCTCTGGAGTAAGTCTTAAAAGAGTTTGCGGCTGTACTCTGTTTTAATAAGATTTGTAAGCCGCACTAGAGACAATGAGAAGCGCATAGAAAGGCGATATTTAGAAGAGTGGCAAAGGTGAAGCAAGTTAGAAGCTGACTACGAAACTTAGAGGCAGTGTGAGGTATACAGAAAGACTAAGATGAAATCAGACACAATGTGAAAGAGAAAGAGTGAGAGAAAGAGCGAGAGAGAGAGGGAGAGAGAGAGAGAAAGCAACGGAAAGAGAGAGAGAAGGGGAGAGAGAGAGAAAGAAAAAAGGAATTCCGCTATAGCCAAAAATCTCTGTAGCTCCATCAATAATGTTCGCACAGAGCGTACAAATATAATAGTTGTACTTGATGGCAAATCGCGTGACCCTTCTCAATAAAATGTATGATATGACAATTGAAGGACTTTGATTTTGATTATAAATTTGCATTTTAAACTTGTATGTCAATTAAGCAATTCATTTTGAAGACATTTCCGATACTTGGCGAACTAAGTATATATGCTTATATATATGTATATATATGTATATATATGTATATATATGTATATGGAGAGATCTGCAAGTATATAGGTAGGCCTTTGGCTTAGCTCGAGCTATAGCTGAAGGTTGCCGTCAGCTCAAATGGTTGTGTACTTTGCAAAAGTGCCAGCAAAATAATAATGGGAAAAGCAAAAAAAAAAAAAAAAAAACAAATTAATAATTATTGACAGTAACAACAGTTTGGTGTCTGTTTACCCATTTTATTTGTTTATTACTCGTCCGTTTATCGCATTGTATATTTCCTTGTCTTAATTTGACTTTGAACTTAACTTTAGCCTGAGGCAGTTTTGCAATTGGAGTTGGAGCTGGAATTGAGCTAAGCCTTGGACTTGAAGTTGATGTTGGAGAATTGGAGAACGTAGCTTGACCTTGACCTTCGCCCCAGGCCTAAGGCTTGGCTTCATCTTCAGCGCTGCCTGTCAGCCAAGCTTGCCGAAAACAGAGTCCATATATATATATCTGTATTATATCCAATAATTATGTGCTAATATTTATGCCCGTATAGCCCGCTGACCCAAATGCCACATAATAAGTGCAACAACTGCAATAATAGCAACAATTTGCGCGGCTCACATCAAATATTCGTAGCAAGACTAAAAACAACAAACAGCGAACAATAAAAGCCGAGTTATAAACTCACAATGGCCAAGCAATAGGCATGGAAATTGTTTAGCCGCATAAATTGTGTCAGCGGCAACAAAAGCACGTGCCTTTACATAAAACATGCATATAGATACATTTTCTATTGTTCAATAATTAAAGCCGTATGCCACAACAGAGACAACAACAACAACAACAACAACAATGGCAATTATTCAATATCCAAATATAGATATACCTAGCTTTAGATTGTATGGGAAATTGATAAGCATGTTTAATACAAAATTCTGAAACTTGGCTACTCAAATACTCTTACCAAGTTAGACGACGTAAGGATGGGGTACGGGCTAGTTTTTCTGTTTGCAAGGTTTGAAGTATCCAACAAGATAATACATATAGTACATATAGCTCGATTCGATTGACCACAAATGAGTTTTCACAAAGATCTTTGCAAATGGGAAAATGAGACCGACCAGAGATGAGTCAGTCGAGGTAAACCTCATGTATATAAATCTATATTCATACATTCTGGAACTGCCTGAACATATTGTCAAATATATCATCTGCCGTGTTTGTTTACTTTGTTAAATATTCTGCAGAAATGGTCTATCATATGCGGACATAAACGTGTTTATGTAAAATCTTTAACATTTTTACTTATATTTTGTTTATCTGATGACACACGAGCACCGTGTATCTGTAATCACGTTCAATTAATGAGATAACCTTGGCTAGTTCAAGAGAAGAGTTTGTTAATTAAAAAGGAATAGCACGCAACAATTTATAAAAATGTATGCCTTGATTTTAACACTGATTGCACTCAGCTTATTTCTAAATATTTATGTTTTTAATTAAATAGTTTATGCTATTAAATAAAATAAAACAATATACCTTTTGTAAATATAATGACATATTTTTAAAAACTTTATTTAATTTTTTTTTAAACTAAATCCATAAAATGTTGAATAAGTTGTTGATACCAAACTAAACAATAGCAAGAGAAGTTATAGGATAATATAAGATTAATAATATTTTTTATAATTAATATTATTTGTATTAATATTACTATAATTAATAATATAATTATTATTATTATTATTGTTATTATTGGTTATATTAATAATATTACTATATTAGTTAATATTATTATTATTTTTCTTTAATATGATAATTATAAATAGTCTTAT